TTTTAGTTTCTCCTCTATTGTTTTGTGCCTCTGAAGCGTAAATTCTTGTTTTTTTTTTGTTTTTTATATATCCAGGAAAAACAAGACTCTACCTATTCCCCACTGGCTCCACATCAGAACTATTTATGTTTAGAGGAAGATTAATTACAGTGAATTGAGGCGTCTTACACCTCAGCACTGGCCTGGCCCTCACTGGGAGCTGTCGCATAAGAGCTGTTAGCTTTTCTGTACATAACTTGAATTAGCATACCTATTTATCTAGGGCTAACTGTGAGGTCTTGCTTGGTAATATGCTGTGTTTCTATTAATTAAGTCACTCACCGTGTCCACCCTGTGTGGTGCTGACCCCTGCTGTATGGGAGTGTGACAGTTTAAGACGCTTATCTGAGCGTACAGCGTGTTGTGGCTTTATAAGATAAGGATTTGTGTCTTTCTTCTTATCAACAAAGCACATTTATTTATAGCTATAGAATCCATTTGTCTGTTGATTTAGGGCAATACAGTGTCATAAAATAAAAGAAGCATTTTCATTATTTGATAGCGGTAAAGAAATGTAGTTGTGTGTATATCACTTACCAGACACTGTTGTCTTCTGTCAGTCCCAACCCTATATGGGGAAGATTCTGTCATTAAGGGTACAATCAATGCACATGAAAGTTAAGGATTTTGTATGCCTTGTCAGATAGAAGATGAGTTTTTAAGTGATGCATTCCACTTCTGCACCAAGCCTGAATTAAGAATGTTGCATTATTGTATCAGTAGAACAGTTACTCCAAATCAGGGATGTCAAACTCATTTTGGTCTGGGGGCCGTATCCAACCTACTTTGATCCCAAAGGGGCTCAGAATCAGATCAAATCAGAAAACTCATCGCATATAAACCCCAAAAATAGCAATAAGTTCAAATATTTGTGCAGAGAAACGCAAATCTATTACAGAAATCTTCTTTTAATTAATGAACTCTTTCTTTTACAAAATATTATAGTATTATGAACAACCTGAAACTTTAAGAAAAATGCAATTTCAACACAATGTTTTAACATTAACTTGTATGCAAATAGGAATAAGTCAATTTTTCTTGGAAAATCCTGCACTCGGCATCCACTTTCCTCATTTTTTGACATTTTGCTGATGAGGGTGCCACGATCAACAGTCAAAAAGATCGTTCTTTAAGAGCATTTGAAAAGAGGCACGTCTTCATTTGTGCTGCTCTGGTGGGAGGCGGCCATTCACAGAGGCGCTGGAGACGCTGCTATGTTATATTTTAATAGAAAATATAATTAAAATATTTTAGTAGAAAATCAGCCGAGGTCTTGGAGGGCCGGATCTGGCCCCCGGGCCATATGTTTGACACCCCTGCTCCATATCAATTAAAAAATGTATAGTACAAAAAGAGGATAATTTACCATGCCAAAGGGAAAGTTAAAAGAAAACTTTTTTCCAAAGAACTGCGTACTCAATAATAGCCTTAGTCTTCACTTGCTTTGTATTAGAAGAAACTCAAACGTCCCAATCTCATTATTCAGCTCCTTTATATTCTAACACATAGTAGTTTCTTAAACAGTAAAATCCAGCATCATTTTAATAAGCATTATGAATTTTAGATTGGTATCTACCAGCTCCACACATCAGAGCATTAGCTAATATGAGTGTGTTTTGTGGTTCAGTACATTTACACTTCTGTCATTGGTGCATTATTATTCATACAATGTGCTGCTCAACTTTGTAGAAAACCAATTTTGTAACTGTCTCTCTGGTTAATTTCAGCCTTCTCTGCACAGAACAAGGCTGAGACAGCTCAGCGCCCTAGAAACTCTCAGGAGTATTGTCCAAGTCTGCATTATATTTAGGAAGTATTATTGCTTCTTAAAGATTTAGGACATCAGCCATCTGCTCTGAAGTTATATCTACCCTTAAACTTGCTGCGGTTTTTCCCATAGGATCTGACAGCCCCATATGGAACAAGCTTTGTCCTGTGTCACTATTGTTATGATGAATGTGTTTTTCCAATTTACAGCATCTTTTAATCTGTGGGTGCTTTTTTCTGAAATCTAGTCTTCTCTCTTGTACCTTTTGTCAACCTTCCATTGTTTTCTGTATTTTTACCTTTGTCTCATAAATATGCATGTGTAGTCTAGTCACTGTACTACAAGTTTCAACATTTCCCCATACTAAGTCTTGCGTTCACGTTGAAGCAAACATTATTTTTTCAAAATTTTGCCCAATCATCCCAGGATTTCTTCTTACTATTGTTACCAACTGGATAACTCACTATTATTTCCTATTCATTTGAATCATTTGGTTTATTCCAAGATTAAGAGAGCATTGTGCAACTTTTCTGGTGGAGGGTCCATCATCTTCTTGTCTTCCTGTAGATGTTATTGCTTTGTTTAGAATATTCCACAATGCAGCTTTAAGTGGTGTAATTCTATGCTTCTCCCTGCTGCTATCACACTGTTAATATGTACATAAATCCAAAATGATGTCTTTGTTTGAGCTGTCATTGTTTTTGACAGTTGGTGGCCATCTTTGCTTGCTAAATTCAGCACATTATTAGAGGGCAGTTGTGATCAGCTCTCAGGCTTGCACCATTAGCATTGATCCCAGCTTTATCTTTATTACTCAGCTACTTCCCATCAGTGAACAAAACGATGCCTTTTCAACAGAGAGTGCACTCACTACGGATACCATGTGTTATCAAGCTCAAAATCATTTCGACAGATATAGGGTTATCTTTGTCTGTGGAGGTTGTTTCATTTATTGAAAGGACATTAGAGTTCTTTTGTGTAACCTTGAAGCATTTTATAGGAGAATTTCAGGTCTACTGAATGTTGAATGTTATAAATGAATTAGAAAACTGTCCTTGCTACCAGTGAAGGAAACTGAAAGCTGTGCGCTATGTGTGTTTTCTGGTAGAGTCTCATGAATATGTTCTTGCTTTGCCTAAAATGTTCCACAATATTGTATAAATGTATGTATTTTTCATTTATTCAATTACAAAAATACTTGGTTTGATTGAGTCACCTGTTGTATCCACGGAGATTGCTAAGTTTGTTATGCCATTTTGTGGAACATTCCAGCCAAAACAAAGAAGAGAATTTGAGAGTAAGATGATGCATATTTGTGGGTTTGTATTTTAAAAGAAAATGATCAATTCATTCAGGTTCACAATATTGTTCTCTGGTTGCACACTGTGTTAAAACAATTTGTATCTTTTATGGGCCTGTGGAAAGGCTGTAAAGACATGATGTGTTGAACTTGTGTCATCTCCGTCAGTCATGTTCAGCTTTGGGGCTCACAAATCACCTTTTATATTGCATCATTATAAAGTAATAAATATAGATTGGTGTACTGCTCTTTTCTGTCTAATGTATATTTAATATCAACCGGTCATACGCTCTTGTGTTGTCGCTGCCCTGTTGGATCAAAGGTCAGAGTCCCATGCAGTCTTCACACACTGATGAGGTGGTTGTCTTTGCACAGTGGCACAGGTCAGCACAGCCATGGCCTGCCTGACACTGGACATTTTCCTGAACTCTGTTAACAGGTCTAACCTGAGAGAAACATACCGGTAACTGTAGAAATAACTGCTCACCTCATAGCTGACGTTTAGAGCTGCACAGCGGGAAAGACCTGCTCTGCAGCTGTGTGTGCAGTCCTGGTGTCCTTCTGGTCCGTCAACAGAAAAGAAATATAAGCTGAGAACAATAAATGAAGTGACCTTTCAACATAATGTAACATGTTATTTATTACAGTATTCATTATTTTTCTTATATACGTTGTTTAAGTGACAAATGTCATGTGTATTTCATAATTGGCAGTCTATTAGATAGTGTGAATATTACGAGTATTTTACAGTAGTTTTGTCATATTGTGACAGTCTAACAGACAGAAGTGACCTGTTTTGATTGATTAATTTGATTAAAACTTTTTATATTGTCATTTGCTGCAGTAAGTGTCTGTGGTAGTTGCAGATGTACATAAACATCATACAACAAAAAACTATCAAACATGACACCCTACTACTTTTGCAACTAAAATGAACAAATTTTGAGCTTTTGTAATGTGCGACTTTACATTTTATAGTGATTTGGTTATGATACTTTTATTTAAAAACACAAGCATACATATTCATAATCAGTTAGACATCATCAGTATTATTGCCAAATGTTTACAAGCCATACAACAGATGCAGCCATGGCCATAAATGATTGATTGAGCCTTTGATGAATCATGGAGCCTCAATGGGAAATGGCATCTTTAAACCGAGATTAAATAAGCTCAGTGTGCAGATGCTGTGGCTCGTATGAGGATAACTGAGATGTGTTTATGTGGTTCTATTGACTGTGTGAATGCAGTTCTATTAGTCTATTAAATTTATGATGTGTTTTCATGCAGTGTATAAATCTCTACTTCTCTATTTTGTCAAGGCTGATTCTGAGAAAGCCAAGCACACACTGATTTATATCAGATTTATTTGAGTGTTTTTACCTGTTGCATACACTATTGATGGCGTGAGACCAGTGCAGTGAAATATTACTAAAGATTAATAGTGTATTGAATAGAATGTATGGAGAAGTTATGGCATACATCCTTTTACAGTAGAGCTTCATCAAATGTCTTTCTATGCAGGTGCACTGTGTAACTTATCTGTTCCATAGTATGACATTAAACGTGTCCATCTCCATACAGACAAGCAAGTGATAAAAGCAGGCCAAATTAAAAACATTAAAATTTAGATTATTGCCAGACATACATGTTATACAGAATGCTTTGAAACATTCCAGGCAAAACAATAACATCTTCATAGACAAAAGCAGATGACTAAATGGCCACTCACCAGAAAAGTTACGTAGCGCATCTTCATCCTCTATCACATGTATAATATGAATTGTTATGTTTTTAAAGTAGTAATAATCATTCTTTAATTAAAGACTAAGTAGTTGTTTGCTATTTCAGATTTGGGTTTCTGGATTTTTATATTTTTGTTGTATTTTTCAGTGGTGGGATGTGAAGAGAGGAGAGGCTCTACAGACTTTCTACCCAAAAGGACTTGGTCTGAAGAAGATTCATGTGTCTCTGGACTTCTCCACCTTCGTCACCATCGACAACATTGGCATTTTGTATGTTCTACAGAAAGTCACTCCTTCAGTCTAATCAAAACACTCGCAATGCATCACCATCACAAAAAGCATACAGACACAGTTCGGTCTATTAATTTTCAAGGGCTATAAATCTTTCAAATAAGAGCATTTGGGGCATCCATCTTATACGTACACTTGTTTACTATATGTCCCAGTGGGTGCTGATGCTCTCTTCAGCCTAAATATAACGATGGGACTGTGGTTGGGTGATTCTTTTACCCAGGATGAGTGCTTATTCAATTACAACAAATATCAGATTTATTACCTGTCTGTGTTTTGAGCCATCTAAGTTTAAAGTTTACTCAAATGTGAAAGATTAATGATGAGGGCTACAAATCTTCATACTAGATTATTGCGGAAAAGTTGGTTTGCTTTACTTCACTTCAGAGTTACATACATACATTACGTAACATATTTTTTTACATTTGTACATATTCATACAGTAGTGGACGCAGACACTGGAGACAAGATGAGTGAAGATGCCAAAGACAAAAGTATCCACTCATCTGAGCAGCAATTGAACCAGCAACCATTGGGTTTGCGCTCTTCCACTGAGTCTTTGTCATACTCTCCATGGGTTGCAGAATAATTAAAAAAGAGGGCTGTTGCCATTAGGGATGGGCATGATTAATCGATAATTGATCATTAAGAATTTAATCGATTACGTAAATTTTAATCGACAAACCGAATGTAGGTTGCTGTGCGTAGCGTGACCAAACAGGGGTCTGTACATGTGTCTCTGCACTCAGAAGGAGTGAGACACAAACATTCGGTCAGTCTGCAGCGTACCGAAGCACAAATGCGTATTTAACGATGATTTGTACAAGAAATTCCACGCTTTCCGTTGCGTTCGGGACAAGTGTGAGTCCATGTGCACAGTGAACAAAGCAGGAACATATGTTTCAGTGTCCAGTGGGAAAAAGCTTTACCAGGTGAGAGTCGCGCAATGTCGATGACGAGGACCCACCTCCCTCCCCCCGTACAGTGTCCTGGTTTTGACAAACGCAAATATGGTCACACTAACCTGTATTCCACTGAGTCATGTCTTTTAATCCAACAGAAATTGACCGCATCAGCGACACAGGAGCTGTAGTTTTATCTTCGCTGAGTTTATGAAAATTAGTGATGCGGTTTTAAGTTTCGTTTCTGTGAGAGTTGCGCAAAACTGAATTAAACACATTATAATCTAAAACGGATTGATGTGGCTCTAGAGTCGTTACGGTTTATATGTCGTAAAGTTGAATTCATTTATTTATTTATAAAAACGTTAATGATTAATCGATAATCGATCGTTAATTCTTCCGACGATCAATTAAGAAAATTTCATCGAATGCCCATCCCTAGTTGCCATAGCAATTGAACATTTAAAACAAAATATTAAATCTTTTGAATGGTGGAAAGGAAGCTGAGACCCAAGAACACACAAATATCCAAGCAATTACAGCTTCCTCTTAATGAACAATTTTATTATAATTTTTTTTTATTTCAGAAAAAAAACACTAAAATGAACAAAAAATAAAGGGCAAGTGCAGTAAAGATGAAAGAATTGAGCTGAAGTACCGTGTCTCCGCAATATTTCTAATGTGTTTATGCATTTGGTAATCCTCAGTGCATTTTATCTCTGTAGATCTGTAAGCTATCATGGTCCCACTAACGTGAAGTGGATAAGAACTAATTTATTGTTCTGTTCAATGTGTGACTGTGATGTGTCTTCACTGTGAAAAGAAGATAATTTAGACAAAATGATGTTATTATCAAAGCCTTGTCATTATCAAGTATATGTGAGTTGTGCTTAACGTATGGTCAGGCCTTCACCAGCATGCATAGAAATTCATGTGCACTTTTGATATTATTATTTGTGGTTATTTAATATTGTAAAATCTTTGGGACATATTTGTATGGCATTTTTTATTGTCTTAACAACAAACATTTTATACAAGATGGCATTTTGAAACATATTTCTTGTTCAAATACACTTTTTACCGTCTTTTGCAACTTTGTATTTATTTACGGTATGTTCTCTTAACCCAAGTCTCTGAGCACTTTGACGCTGATAACAATCCCCTGTATTGTTCTCTTAAGAGCCTAGCAAATCCTTACTTTGAAACACTATGAGCCATCATTATTCAGCAAGTGCTAGCCTTTCCATGGCTGTATACCACTAAAGATAATGTTAATGCTGTCCTTTATACTCTAATGGAGCAGAAGGGATGTAGTCTTAGATATTTTGTTAAATGGTGCTTTCACGATCAAATCAGTGCAGTCAAAACATTGTTGTTGGTAGGGAGACCCATAATTTTAAAATACATTTTTTCCCTCAGGACTTCTAAATTTTTTATAATGTATAATTGATGACAAATTAAACATCACAGGCTTTGAAACTCTATGTGCTTTTGTATTTATTCCACACTGATGGTGATTTTGTTTAAACTGTAGTCCTATAAAAAGTAATGAAAGTAATGCGTGAAAACTGAACAGAACAACCAAGTTTGAAAATAATGATTGATGATTGTCTCTAGACTCTAGAAGCCACTTTGAATGAGAGTGAGTTAAAAAAATTTTCTCCAAATAACCTGAGTAAAGATAATCAGTAGAATATTTTTGAAGAAAAGTTTAGTACATACAGGCAAATATTATATGTGTTAATTTACTGTTATTGTTAAAGGCTATACTGTACATCATATATATATCATTATGGTTTCTCTTAGCTTTTATCTGAGTAATTAAAGAAGTCACCAAATATCTTTTCTATACAGAATTTTTGAATTGTGAACTTAAATAAATATTCAGATATATCGACAGACCACCTAGCATACTATTTTGGTGGTGTTGACTTTTAAACTGTGTCCCAATTTATAGCTTTGCCTCGGTCACAGCAGGTGCAGCTCCTGTATTTGTCAGTGACATCAATGCACTGATTTACTCTGGGCCCTAAGCCGTCTAGACGTCAGCGCCCTGTGACCAATTGTAAATGTAGGTGTTCGGTTACCATGGCAACACACACGATGTATGACACTTTGAACACACATGAAAGAGTGATGATTATTTTATCAGTTTAAGAGGGCTGAAGACTTGAGGTAGACAGCAACTGGGTGACGGAAATTACAGTTTACACTTTTTATTACATGCTACAACAATTATGTAACTTTCTGCCGGTAATCAAATATGCACAATAGCACACTAACCTCATAGGTATTTGAATCTTCTTCACAGTCAATAAATTACCAATCTATCTTTCTATGTATTCCAGACATAGGAGCTGCACTGTGGTCAAGTACTGCTCCTTTCGGGCTGTCCCAGTATCATCACTGAACAATATGTCAAATCCAAATGATAATAAATGTATGATTTTAAAATCCAGTTGATCATTTCATATTAGTTCTACAGTATATATACAGTATATTGTACTAAGGTGGATTTTTTTTACATTTTTAAGTGGGACATGTAGACACTATTTACTCACTTTCTCCTTGACAACAAGTTTTAAATACTCGTGAGAAAGTTTTGTCTCTGTGTATAAATGCAGAACAAAAACAAAGTGAGATGCCCACCAGAGAGCTTGTTATCAGGCCAAACCAGGGCCACTTTACCCTCTTAACTGCTGACAGAAAACCTGAAACCATTTGTCCTGGGGCCTTTATACTCCTGGGCACAGAGAAGTGTCATGGCTGCCAGTCACTGTTGGCTATGCCCTCATCTCAGAGCAAGACTTAGACCCGCCATATGTCTCACAAACTATACATTGCTGCCAGCTGTCTGTCAGGATGTAATGCTCTATTTAAAGTTGTCCTCAGAGGGTGACGTAAGATTGCTATTGCTGTTTCAGTGGTTGCTATCATTACAGCCCATTGAGAGACGCTTAACAGTCCTTCAGTGTTTATATATATATATATATATATATATATATATATATATATATATATATATATATATATATATATATATATATATACTGTTACCTCTGCCTTGGAGATTATTTGGTAGACAGGATAATGTAGACAGTAACCTTTGACCTGGGTCACACCAAATTTTTACATTTGTAGCAAACTACTAAGTGGCCCACCAAGGTCAGGCTTCTACATTTTGAATAGATTTGAACATATTAATTTGACGTATGTCTCTTAAAATCCCAGTTATATATCTTACTGTACTATTCAAGTGATTGAAGCAAAACTATGAATTGTGAAAGCATGCAATGGAGGTCTGAACTCTTGTAGTTGGGTGCATTCACTTGCATTAAGACCACTTTAAAACTGGGACTGGAAACTAACTGAACTAAAACAGGACTTCAGGACCTAAATAATCCTGTCCACAAGTCCATTACTAAACCAAGTTCAAACCAAGACCAAACCATGACAAGTGTGAACTCACCTTTAGTTTGTTTAGCACAATGTAAACAAAAGTTCTTAATCTGTAAATTTGGCTGTGACGGAGCATAAATATTGCATTGATCATTTGCAAAAGCATAATCTACCAAGTCAAATTTATCTCTGGTACAGCTGTCTCCTTAGCTCAAACAAAATAAAAGTGGAATAAAATTGTTTAGTTCATTTGCAGCCAAAATCACTCTGGGCTGGTTTGGAGTAGCGCTACAGCTCTGATTACACAAATTTGCATAAGAGTGAAAGAAGTTTGATTTTAGCCACAAGCATCAGGATTTTAAAGAAAGTACTGTAGTCCAAAATGTTGCTAGGCATACTTTGACTGCCAAATCTAGCCAACGAACCTTAAGCCCTAAACTTTCTGCTGATACTACAAGACTTGAAGGTAAGATTAGTTTGGGTATCTTTTTAAACACCTATCTTTTTACGGTACATGTACTATGAGCTGTAAAGGAGTAAAAGTGTTCTCCATTTGTGTCATCTGATAGTGAGAACTACATCTGAAATCACACTGCCTGGAGTCGGGGAAGCTGTGAAGTTCTGAAAGTGCGTTTGAGGTGTGGGCTTACCTCATTAATTCAGTTCTCTCAGTCTAATTAATCTTTGTCTCTTGTAGATGTAATTACAGTCTACACACTGACACCTCCCTCCCCTCTCAGTTACACTAAGTCCTACTTCCTCTCTCTACGTCTCCAGGGCTGTCATAACTGTACTGTATCATTCACTGCCCTGAGCTCAGAGCTCTCAACTTGCTTAATATTATCTCACCTTGTCTTATATACAAACCTGTTTGGTAAGAAACTATAATTCACTGTGGATTCTGAAAACCGGACAGAATGCTTTAATGTGACTCAAAGGTAAATGGTCACATTTTAAAATAGTGCTTTTCCACCTTCAAGGCTTCTTCAAGTAACTAGTACACGCAGACACTGGCGGCAAGGTAAGTGTCCAAAGTCTCTTGCCCAAGGACACAACGACAACATTCATCTGTAGGAGTGAATCTGAGAGCTCAACCAAGGATGTTTATGTAGAGAGTGGGATTCTTACTGCCAACCTTTGGATCAATGGACAGCACAGTATTGCATTGCTCAGAATTTTCCACAGTATGACAGTAACCTATTTATCTCCATGGAGACAAACAGGTAATATCACTTGGCCAAGTTGCACGTCAGGTCTGTGGGGAAGCAGCCCCATTCACAGTAAAAGGTTTCCAATGTTTTCAGCCTTAAAACAATTACAAGTTGAATGCCATACTGTGAAACATTCTGGGCAGAGCAATAACATCTCCATGGAGACAAAGTAGGTGGCAGAACCTCACCATTGCAATCATATAGTGCACTTACCCCACTTGCATGACCTGTTACTTCCTGCTGTGGACCATTTAAACTTCACCTTTTCTTTTGAGCAGTCACAGACGAATTAAATGAGTCTTTTCTATGACTTATTATTGTATCACAGATAAGATATGGAGAGAGAAAAACAGCAGATTCTAAACAACCTTCAAAATGTTCTTGATCTTTTAATTAACCACAATATGCTACTTTGCTCAATAATGTTACAGCAATGATCAGTGGAAGGAGCAAAGAGGAGGATTTGAAGTGATTATTCGATTGCTTTAAACAGTCACGCAGAGTTCAAAGGCCTAGTCGTCCAATTAGCCTCCGTTATAAATAGTGTACTTTACAGAGAAATGCGCTGGGTATCTAAAGCTTTGGAGTTTGACAGTGGGGTCTGCAGAAGAGGACTCCCTGGAGATCTGAATAGGTTCACTTTGAAAAGAGCACACTCCCCTCCGGCACTCCGTCTGCTGTCTGAGGCTTTCATTTTGTCCCCTTCTTCTTTTCCCCTCTCATTAATATTTTACTGTTTGGAGTGCTCTGAGCTCCTGGCTGTGAGAAAGTCAATTGTAGTGCTTGTGTGTTTGGGCCATGCATGCAGGTGGGCACTCTGCTATTTCACCTATGGAGAAAAGTACACTTATTTCAAATAACTTCATGTCCAATTATTGACTACGACACAGCAGCTACAAATAAGGGAAACATTACATGTTAATCATATACAGAGTAACTCAAGAGTGCATGTAATTTTCTTATAAACCTTATATTCAAATCAGTTATGCGCCACTATATAAATTACAAGATCTGAATACTTTTTATGGGTAAAGTTATTGAAAAGGCTAAACATGCAGCAAAACTTGATTAAAAATAGGTGCACTATGACACTTTTCTGGTTGTGACCTGCTTGTCTCCATGGAGATATTATGCTTTCCCTGAAATGATTCACAGTATGGGTTTTAAACTTATACATCTCATGAAGACAAGCAGGTGATGCCAGTAGGTCTATTCAGAGGTCAGATCTGAATGTGAGGTGACCTGTTGCTCACATTAACGATACTGTAAACAACTGCTAATAATAATAAAAAATAATAAATAAGTGTACGGGGCAAAGCAATAACATCTCCTACAAGACAAGCAGGTGGTGAACCATCCAACAGAAAAGTAACATAGTGCAGCTTAAAGAAAAACAACAGTGTATATACCACAGCAGAAAATGTGTTATCTGTAGCCATCAAGAGTATTGGCCTAGAGAAGACAAAGTAGAAAATGAATAGCTGATCCTAAATTACTGCATACTGTTACTTTGCAGCTGACATCATCAACATTCCCCTGACTGAAGTTCTGTTAAACTTTAATCTGATCTTTATTTTACCACAATCAGACCAGAAAGTACTGACTTAGCTGGAATTACAACAGGTGAGCTGGTTTTTGCTGTTAGTCTCTCTCTCAGTCACATGTAGGACACATGTAGACTCCACCAACATGACTTCAATGCAAAGTATCAATATTATGTCATCATTATTTTGAGTGTAGAGAAGACTAAAATCATCAGAGTCCCTTGCCTCCTTTCACTGTTGTTGCTGAGTCTCTTTCATCATGTGGCACACCCACCTCTGAGTATTTGGGTCACTACACTTTAGCCCCAGACACTGTGGTTGTTTAACTCA